CGAGACTCGAACCCACAACCTTTGGGTTATGAGTCCGACTCTCTAACCATTAGGCCACGACTTCCCACAAGTCGTGGGTCTTTACTATTTTTTAGTAAGTAGTAAATTTATATATCTATATAAAAAAAATAAAGTGACGTGACATGTGGCCAAGTATGGTGACCCATACTCGGAATTAGTGCTCTGCATTTATCCCATCCAAAGTGCACACACACAGCAATGAACACACACACACCGTGAACACACACCCGGAGCAGTGGGCAGCCATTTATGCTGCGGCGCCCGGGGAGCAGTTGGGGGTTCAGTGCCTTGCTCAAGGGCACCTCAGTCGTGGTATTGTCGTGGTAAAAGTAATCTTTTGTTCAAATTTGTTAAAAAAAAGTCGTGGCCTAATGGTTAGAGAGTTATTATTAATTAATAAGAAATTAATACTTTTACAAGGACACATTCAATTGATCAAACATAATAGCAAAGACATTTATAATGTTACAAAAGATTTATATTTTAAAATAAATGCTGTTCTTTTGAACTTTCTATTCATCAAAGAATCCTAAAATATGTATCTCACTTTTCACTAAAATGTTAAGCAGCACAACTGCTTTTGACATTGATAATAATAAGAAATGTTCCTTGAGCAGCAAATCAGCATATAATAAAGACTGGAGTAATGATGCTGAAAATCCAGCTTTGCATCACAGGAATAAATGACATTTTAAAATATGTTCAAATAGAAAACTTATAAATTGTATTAATATTTCACAATATTTCTGTTTTTACTGTATTTTTGATCAAATAAATGCAGCCTTGGTGATCATAAGAAACTTAAATTAAAGATAGATAGATAGATAGATAGATAGATAGATCTGAAATCCTCACGCACTAGCTGTGGAAGACATGTACATCAGAATGCCTAAATTTCACAAATATGCGCTGGAGAGACACTGGAAAGCCATGTTTGGGATGCTGGCCATTTGTGTTGTTATTTCCTGAGTTATAATTGGACATAAGTGGTTGCCAGTGTCATCTATTCTGCTGTTTGGCTTTATATGTACAGTGGAGTCAAGAAACGAGACCATACTTTTTAGTTTTGTTGTTTTTAAGCATTTATGAACAATAATAATTATGACTTGCATGAAAAAGTAATATTTTATAATCTGCATGATATTACTAGGTTCATTACTCAAATAAACAAAATCTTAACAAAATCCGATCAAATGACTCTTTGCTCAGATGGTCAGATGTTCTTGCTTCCATTGACACAAGATTGCAATGCTGATTGTGATTGAAAAATGATATATTAAAAAAGAAGGTACAATAGATGTATTTTCACTAGTAGTTTCACAGATTGTTGAAACCCATTGTACAGTTACAAACCCAGAGTTGCTGATAAAAGTGTACATATGCTTTGTGTACATACCTATACACACACCCGTTTATGCCTCATAAGGGAACACTTGGCCACGGATGTGCTGCTTTTACAGAATCAAACATTCCATCTGTATATGGAAGGACTGGCACCTCAGGTTTCATTAAAACTAGATTTCATTGGGGCACATACTTGCGCTCCCTTTATGGAAAATGGAAAGGCAGAGTCATGGTAAGAGCTTTGCTCCAGGAGGAAAGAAGCAGCTTATGATTTCTGCTCTTCTGGAATAGAGAGGCCCTGGAACAACTGAATGTTCATGGGAAACCAGGCCTCGGGCGCTCGGCCAGAAAGATGCAGAAGCGCTGATCACTGTCGATCTCCAGGGACACGACCTCAACGTTCAAGAAGAAAAAATGCTTTTTTCCTGTTTATAAAACATAACATCTGTGCCAAGGGTTTGAAATCGCAGCAGATGAAACCATCTCATGACCCTAAATGGTCCTCATAACAATGTTTAGATAGATGTTATGTAATACACACTTTCATGAATATGTCTTGCTTGAAACCTTGAAAGTTTTTAACACACTCAACAAGATTATAGTGTACAACAGGTGCATCTGTGTTTCCTAAATGGGTGTTAAAAAATGGAAACTTATTGTAAAGTTTTATTATATTATTTAATATTATTATTATGTTGTTACTTATTGTAAATTATTATATTATAGTATATTTAGAAATTAACATCGACCTAGATTAATAAATGCTGTAAAAGTATTGTTAATTCATGCATTCATGCTAATGTCTTTATTAACTGTTAACAAAATGAAACTTTTTTTATTATAAGTTTTTAGATATGTACATTTTATATATTAAAATTGTATTTTGTCTATTTTTTATTTTAATAGTTTTTTTGTATTTTATTTAAATGTTACATTTTAGGTATGTGCAGTACTTCAGCGGTCTGCTCTCCGGCCATATCAAGATCAACAACAAGCCCCTGTTTCTGCACCACGTCATCATGCACGGGATCCCAAACTTCGAGTCCAAAGGAGGTGAGCTGAAATGCTTTGACCGGTGGCCATTTGTCAGAGACTGCTGGAGGTGTTGAAGGCAGGTTTGAGTCCGTCTCGACTCCTTCTGCTTTTGACGCCTCCCTGTCAGACTGACAACATGCTGCTCTATTACACACGTCTCGGGTGATCCGATCACAAGAGGTCAGCGCTAAATACAGGTGTAGACGGGGTCCAGAATGTTTTGTGATCCGATCACTGAAACCACAGTCGGAGGTATTCAGAAACACATGTGACCGCATCGCATTTGTAGTGTAAATGAATCCATCCTCCCTAGACTGTGACATGGGGCTTGATTCTCAAATCGGTGGAGATACATTTGAGACGCGTGTAAATACCTGAAAACATTCTATAAACATTATAAAAAGTATCTTTCGAGATGCATGTTAATACTGGCTATAAACAGGATCTGAGAGCGTTATAGAGACAATTTCTGCTCCAGCACTTTAGATATTCCACTTCTAGAGCTCTAGTAACACCTTCTTTGTTCTCTCTCACTTTCTCTCATGGTTTCTCAGGTTGCCGCCCTTTCCTTAAGATCTACCAGGCTATGCAGCCCGTCTACACATCTGGGATCTAGTAAGAAACACCCCATGTTTTCCTACACGCTATTGCTCATGCTTCCCTGGCTTGTAGCCCAGCCTTCAAGACGTCCAATCACAGGCGGGCCTCTGTGTCTGGGGGGTTTCTGAATCACACACCCTCAGAGGAGCCCACATGTGCTTTTCCCATACATCACTGAACTCGGCCTCTGTAGCTTCCTGCATGCTCTTGTGTTGTTATCAGAAGGGATGACCCTTTCTGTTAAATGCAAATAGAAAGATGTGTTTGGCAGCCATGCATTGAGAAGTTTAGGCACATGTTTGTTTGGGGGGTTTTGTAGTTAACGGTTATGTGTCTGACTGATGTTTGCAGTAACGTCCAAGGAGACAGTCAGACCAGTATCTGCATCACCATTGAACCCGGCCTGCTTCTGAAAGGAGACATTCTGGTAAGTCACCTTTCAAAACACAACAAAACAAAACAACACAAAACACAAAACAAAACACAATGAAGCCTATTTTAGGGCCATATAGATCTGACATATTTTTATGACAGTTTAATACATTTTCACCCCAAAGGTTTATCAATTTGTGTGTGTATATATGTGTGTGTGTAAAAAAAGTTATATTAATATTAATATATACAGTATAATACAATATTATTATACTGTATTGTACTTCTTTTGTCCTTATTTAAATAACAACAACAACAATGATAATAATAAGCAAAACATGACTACAGTAATTTTTCATTTATATATATATATATATATATATATATATATATACA